TGACAGGATTTCACCATGTTGCCCAGGCTGGTCTTGAACGCCTGGGCTCAAGTAGTCCACCTGCCTCAGCTTCCCAAAGTGCTAGGATTACAAGCATGTGCCGCCTCGCCTGGCCTAAATTTTCAATGATAAAGATAATTCATATAGTCAGGGACAGCAGTGGGCATCTGTAGTCCCAGCTACTTGGGAGGCTGAGGCGGGAGGGTCACATGAGCCTAGAATTTTGAGGCCATCCTGGGAAACATTGTGAGGCTCCATCTCTAATATGAATAAATAAATAAATAAATTGTTTCCACAAGTTAAGACACAGAAGTATGAGAGTTCTTCTCGGATGGTGTAGTTTTATAAAAAGGAAAACACTACAAAATACCCAACATAAATAATTTATTCCTATTAAGTACTTGGAAAATTTATTCCTATCAATTCAACTCAGATTAGAGTCAAAATATTCATCAGAATGTAATAAGCCATATTAGCAAATAATAAGCTCCTATTCTCTAGGAGATAACATTCAAGCTACTTATCCAGAATTCTAATTGTTCTATGCAGCAAAATTACATGTACAAATAATATATTTAATTTACTAAAATAAAATCCTCAAAGTTACAAGAAATCAGATATAATAAAAAGATATTCGCAATTTCTAGTCGCTATGGTTATTGGATGGGTTAGAGATTAACAAGAGGAAATATATCAAGATAGTGAATGCTATAATGTATAACAGAAGATCGTTTAATCTCTCCATGGGGGAGTTCTTGTTCCCCAGAATCTCAAAGAATTTTACACCTTGGATACTAATATTCACCAAAGTACTCTCAGGGGCATAAGTAACATTTTCATTTTTCAGGGGAAAAAAATAAGATACAGAATATTTAATGAAGAATATTCACACATTAATTTACCAGAACTATAGGCTTGTGGGGTTTTTTCCCTGGGAGAAAGAAGAGATCCCTTTTTCCCTGCGCCAATTCTGGAATATGAATTAACTGAAGAGTTTAAGGCAATGGGAAAGGGCTTGGATATTTTTAAATATTTGAAATAGCTAGGAAACCACACAAATGTAGACACAGCCTATAAACTCCCAGACATGATTAGTAAAAAGCATGGAACGAGAAATGACACAATCCTGCATACTTGGCTTGGGAGCTCTCCTGCCTCTTCATATCTGTAACTGCAGCAACAACCACAGGACCCAGCACGTAAGAGGAGCTCTCTAAATATTGGTTGAATCAATAAATTAATGAATCTTAATCTCAACTGTACAGTCTTTTCATTTGAAAAATCAGAAAAGAACTTCCTGTCCAGTGTCTGACTCAGTGCCTGGTGTTTAGCTTTATGCTCCTCCTCAAGCTTTGTACTTCTCTGGATTTTCCTAAACTCCTCTGCCCCAACTGGCCACATGAGCATAACATGACTGAGAAGAAGTACATTTCACCTTTCCATCATTTAGGGTGGAATGTGATTGTTTAATTGTCCTTGCCCTTTGGGAACCCAATTTAAAACATTTGTAATCTTTGTCCTCTCCAAACAACATATTTTAGTTCACACTTAACAAAATGTGCTAAAGATTCTATTTATGAATGATTCATAATGCTAATGAATTCATCAATCCCATTATCACACATCATTCTATAAATGTCAAACAGGATGTAGCTGACAAGTTCATTGCCATTAAATATAAGGGCATAGATGCACACATTTGCTCTTGATGAGGGTCATCCATGGCCAACCTTTGACTTTTTATGTTTCTGCTATTTGAATGTCAATAATTGTATATAATTTTCACATTATTCTGTGACTACATGTCAAAATTTCCAAACATCTATCATATTTTTATATAATTAAATGTGTATCCTTTACTACTTTGTAAATGAGTGCCCTCTATTTGAAAGCGGTTAAATCCTTTTATTTTAACATTTTTTAATCTTTATTGTCATTTGGGACTAGTGGATGCTTTCACAGAGTCCTGGAGGCAGAACCTGAGATAGAGGTTCTAATGCAAGTGGTTTATTGAGGGAATGTTTAGGAAGAAATTAGCAAGAAGGTGAGGGAAGCAGAAAAGGGCAGGAGAAGCAAATGCAAGTTATGGTTACGGTGGAAGTCTGGCCTCAGCCTGAGGTCATAAGAAGTTTTCTGGTTTTTTTTTTTTTTGAGACGGAGTCTCGCTCTGTCCCCCAGGTTGGAGTGCAGTGGCCGGATCTCAGCTCACTGCAAGCTCCGCCTCCCAGGTTTACGCCATTCTCCTGCATCAGCCTCCCGAGTAGCTGGGACTACAGGTACCCGCCACCTCGCCCGGCTAGTTTTTTTTGTTTTTGTTTTTTTTTGTATTTTTTAGTAGAGACGGGGTTTCACCGTGTTAGCCAGGATGGTCTCGATCTCCTGACCTCGTGATCCACCCGCCTCGGCCTCCCAAAGTGCTGGGATTACAGGCTTGAGCCACCGCGCCTGGCCTAGAGGTCATAAGAAGTTTAGGAACAAGAATGACACCAGGAAAATTGTCCCAACTTAAGGCAAAAAAGCAGGATTTCACACCAATCAATTAACTGGGTGTGTGCTGCCCATGGTTGGGGTGGATACACACCACCCAAGGCAACTTACAGTGAGGCAGCCCAAGTCTACGGAGGACAATTCTCCATCCAGTGGGGTAGTTGTGGGCTTTTCGCAGCCAACACTCAGAACACAGGAAGGTGGATGCACAGGCCTACTAGTAGGGTTGTTTTCTGACGTTTTATTTTACCAAAAGAAAAATAGAACTCTCTATGGATTGGTGGTCTAGTTTTATTGTCTTAGTAATATATGTATTCATCATTTTTTAAATACGTAAACATATTACTTAAAACAATAAAACTGTAGTAATTTGGTAACCCATGACTGGAGAAGTAAAGAATTATGATGCAGATGAAAACAGAATACAGTTGGCCCTTGAACAGCATGGGTTTGAACAGCACAGATCACTTATAGGGGATTTTTCTCAAGAAAAGTTACACCAAGTGTGCTTGCCTCTCCTGACTTCCCTTCTACCTCCTCCATTTCTTCTGTCTCTGCCACCCCTGAGACAGCAAGACCAACGTCTCCTTCTCCTCTTCTTCATCAGCCTATACAACCTGCAGATGATGAGCATGAAGACTTTGGTGATCCATTTCCATTTAATGAACAGTAAATATATTTTCTTTCTTATGATTTTCTTAATAACATTTTCTTTTCATTAGCATAATTTATTGTAAGAATACAGTATATAATACATATAGCATGCAAAATATGTGTTAACTCTTCATGCTATTGGTAAGGCTTCCAGTTAAGTCAGCTATTAGTAGTTAAGATTTGGGGGAGTCAAAAGTTATATGCAAAGTCTCAGCACCTCTAACCCCCCCATTGTTCAAGGGTCAACTGTACTTAACCAACGCTCGTAATAAAAACTTAAATTCCAAACACAGCCTTATCCTATGAATTCAATTTGGGAAATGGCATTCCATCAATGATAGCCACTGTGCAAATTTTAGTAGATATTACAACTTTCAAATTTTTATGTCACAAATAGTGATAATTTAGGCAACCTCTGTACCACATAAGTCAACAGTAGATATACCAGCGCAGGTCAGTTTCACTCCCCTTCATTAATGGCTATGGACTGGTGTTAGCATACGCCTTTCTCAGGGAGCATTGCGATGGAGAATCCACTGCTGTATGATCTTAGAGCAATTTTGGAACATAGACTTTCAGTTACTTAATTTAAACCTGTGCTTTGATATCATAGTGAGCTTCTGTCTTTACTTTTTGTGCCCCTTACATTTAAGGTCTTACAGATCCCACCATGCCTTGTTCCCTGCTCATTTCCATGTTCTTGTTGCTCTTTCATGGGGATGACTGTTAAAGAACCAAGACAACCTTGCAGGTGAATCAAATGGATGCAAGAATCGGAAATGCCCTGTCTCTTTGCTCCTTGTGCTTACATACGTTTATGACTGAGTCCACTATTTAGGAATAGTTGTGTGTAGGCATCAAAGCAACCTCTTGGTCTTCCTTACTGCTCTATGTGAAATTGTAAATGAGAGCAAAGGCTCTGGAGGCTGGCATATGTTGGCTGGCATTTGCCCAACTTAAAGGGTTGCTGTGGTACTGGGAGTATCGTGCTCCTTCAATTTGCTTGTGTATGGCTGCCATGAGGTAGAGGCAGTAAACGCAGATCAAAGATAAAGATGTACAGCCTTCAGATAGGAAGAGAGGAACCCATGACTACTGTTGGTGTACATCTCAGAATAAAACGTGATGTGGCTCCCGATGGAGCATCCTCTAAGATCTTAAAGACCTGGAAACAGCCAAATGTTACAGAAGTTCATAGTAACCATATGATCTGTGAAGAAATTGGTACTATTGGATGGCTGGATGGGCTCAGAACGTTATGAACAATCCACGATCTTCAGAGACACACCAAATGTTCCAAAACAACTATTACAGGAGAATTTACGGTTAGATAGAAGGTGTGCCCTTTCCATGAGTCATGAAGGGTGTTGTTGGGGAAGGATAAGTGCAGACTTGAGCTTGGGGTTTGGGAAATGTTTTCTCCAGGTCATGGCATGAGTGGCATAGCATCCTTGAGGCATCAGTTGCCAGCCAGTTAGAAAGTCCTTCATTTCTTAAAGGGTTTTTTAACTTTAACCTGTTTAATCTAGAGTCTAATCTATAACACATCTCCTCTATATCATTTTATCTGCACAAGACTTGGGTACGTATAGGACAATATTAGAAAGTTCTTAGGCCGGGTGTGGTGGCTCATGCCTGTAATCCCAGCACCCCAGCACTTTGGTAGGACGAGGCGGGCAGATCATGAGGTCAGGAAATCAAGACCATCCTGGCTAACACGATGAAACCCCGTTTCCACTAAAAATATAAAAAATCAGCCGGGTGTGGTGGTGGGCGCCTGTAGTCCCAGCTACTTGGGAGGCTGAGGCAGGAGAATCGCTTGAACCTGGGAGGCGGAGCTTGCAGTGAGCCGAGATCGCGCCACTGCACTCCAGCCTGGGGGACAGCCTGGGCGAGACTCTGTCGAGAGAGAGAGAGAGAGAGAGAGAGAGAGAGAGAGAGAGAAAGAAAGTTCTTTAGAACTTAATTTTTCTTTTTTCAGCAATTCATGTGTCACTTTAGAAAGGAGATAATTCATGACATTTTATTCCCACGCAGCATTTGATGACAAATGAGGCACAGAGATGTTAATGGCTTGTCTGATGTCACACAGCTATCTGGGGGACAGTTATAAATCATTGCATAATCCCATTGGTGAGCCGTATATTAAGCAATTATATCTCTCCTTCTTTGAAGATTCTTTATCCCAGAAGCCCTTATGATCCAGCAACACTGGACTACTTGTACTGCGCTTATTTCTCACATAAGCTATGTCTTAGTTTACACTTTTCTCCATGCCTGGAAAGCCTCCTTGCCCCACCCCAGCCCCTGTATACCTCCACTTCCTACTCATGTCTACTTGTCAGGTAGCATCGTTCAGTTACTCCAAGATGAGTTGGGAGCATCTCATCAATACCATATTGTATTAACCAAGTTGTTATAATACAACAACCAGCTTGTTCACATTTTATTCTTAGATGTATGCCAGTAGTGCCCATGAGTTCCTCTCTTCATTTTTAAAAGTTGTACATCTGCACCGGGTGTGGAGGCTCATGCCTGCAATCCCAGCGCTTTGGGAGGTCAAAGTGGAAGGATCGCTTGAGGCCAGGAGTTTATGACCAGCCTGAGCAACACAGCAAGGCCCTGTCTCTAAAAAATAAAAATTAAAATTAAAAAATTCACCAGCCATGATGGTGTGCACCTGTTGTCCCAGTTGTCTGGGAGGCTGAGGCAAGATGATCTCTTCAGCCCAGGAGTTCAAGGCTGCAGTGAGCTAGGATCGTGCCACAGCACTCCAGCCTGGACTACAGAGTGAAATCCTGTCTCAAAACAACAGCGACAACAACAAAGAAAGTCATACATCTTTATTTTTATTTTTAAATTTTATTTATTTATTTATTTTGAGACAGAGTCTCCCTCTATCACCCAGGCTGGAGTGCAGTGGTGCAATCTCGGCTCATTACAACCCCTGCCTCCCAGGTTCAAGCGATTCTCCTGTCTTAGCCGCCCAAGTAGCTGGGATTACAGGCATGCACTACCACGCCTGGCTAATTTTTGTATTTTCAGTAGAGACAGGGTTTCACTATGTTGACCAGGCTGGTCTCGAACTCCTGACCTCAAGTGATCTGCCCGCCTCGGCCTCCCAAAGCGTTGGGATTACAGGCATGAGCCACCGTGCCCCCGGCCCTACATCTTTATTTTTGATCCACATTTACAGCCTCTAGCTAAAGGCAGACGTACACAAGCAAATAGAAAAAGTATGATACTCAAAGTATCAAAGCAACCCTATAAGTTGGGCATACCAGATGTTCCCATAAGGTAGCCTACAATTATGCCTGTTGTGAATAAAAGTTGTCACTAGTGTCAGGCTCCATCTTGACCCGGGAGAGATGTGCCTAGCAAAGCGGTCCAGTGCCTAGAATAGTAGACGGTATGTAGTAGTGCTCAGTCATTATTAACTTAGGATTCTTACAGGAAAGTTTTTAGGGGGATAAGGGTAGAGTCCTTAACTCTTGATCTTCCCTGTAACAGGAAAACCAAGAGAAGGCTGAAACCCAGCAATTCTACTCCTAGGCACATACTCAAGGGAATTTATTTATTTATTTATTTATTGACATGGAGTCTCGCTCTGTCGCCCAGGCTGGAGTGCAGTGGTGCGATCTCGGTTCACTGCAAGCTCTGCCTCCCGGGTTCACGCCATTCTCCTGCCTCAGCCTCCTGAGTAGCTGGGACTACAGGCGCCCGCCACCGCGCCCAGCTAATTGTTTGTATTTTTAGTAGAGACAGGGTTGCACCGTGTTAGCCAGGATGGTCTTGATCTCCTGACCTCGTGATCCACCCACCTCGGCCTCCCTTAGTGCTGGGATTACAGGCCGGAGCCACCACGCCCAGCTAATTTTTTGTATTTTTAGTAGAGACGGGGTTTCACCGTGTTAGCCAGGATAGTCTCCATCTTCTGACCTCATGATCCTCCGGCATCGTCCTCCCGAAGTGCTGGGATTACAGGCCTGAGCCACCGTACCCGGCCTTATGCACATGTTTACAGCAACAACATTCATAATGGCCAAAAGGTGGAGACAACCCAAATGTCCATCGACTGATGAATAGACAAACGAAATAAGGTATACCATCCAATGGAATAGTATTTGGTCATAAGAGAAATGAAGTACTGATACGTGATACAGCATGGATGAACTTTGAAGACATTATGTTAAGTGAAAGAAACCAGTCACAAAAGACCACATAATGTATGATTCCATTTATATAAAATACCCAGAATGAGAAAATCTACAGAGAAAGCATGTAGATGAGTGGTTGCCTAGGGCTGGGGGAGGGAGAAGCAGAGCAGTTTCTTTTTGAAGTGATGAAAATGCCCTCAAATTGCCTATGGTGATGGTGGCACTCCTCTGTGAATACACTAAAAACTATTAAATGGCACAATTTAAATGAGTGAATTGTATGGTATGTGAATTATAGCTCAATAAGATGATGAGAAAGAGAGTGGAGGCTGAAATATGTCAGACTAAAGGCCACCCATCAGAATCCTCCCAATACTTTAACAAGAATCATGGCAAGCTTTTGCTAAAGATGTCCCAGCCTGGCTCTCACTTTTCCTTTGTCTATTTCTAAGGCCCCGACCAGAATTCACTTAAGTACGACTCAGACTGTTTTAGCCAACTATCACATTGTGATCTCTTCTGTTTTGTTGTGTATAGTAACCAGCTAAATCGCATGAAAAATCCTTGTCTAAATTGAGTCCATAGTCTCAATACCCAACTAGCATTCATTGAATGCCCATTGGTGCCAAGCCCTTCACAGATGTCATCCCTAAGCCTCATAATAGCCCCAGGAGCCTCATAAGAGCCCCAGGGAGTACGTTGCATTACCGTCATTTCGTAGAGGAGGAGAGAGACTAAGCTTAGCTAATAGGCATGATGTCACCATGTGGGAAATGATGGACCCAGGTTTAACATGGATGTGTCTGATTTACAAAATCTGTGCTCTATTGACAAATTATGTATTCAAAGTCTAGCACAGAAATGCATAAAACCCGAACAAGAGAGGGAATAGAGTGTAGACCATCTGATAAAGATAATCTGATTCAGTGTTCCAACGTAGAGCCGTGATGTGAGAATCCTGTTTTAAAATCCTGTCCTAATGGCCTGGACACTGACAAAGAGTTCGCCTGGGTCTGGGGCTACCAAAGCTGCCTGTTTGAAGAGGGAGCTTTTAAATGTTTTTCCAGCTGAGCAAGCAAAAGAGCATACTCCCAGGTCAGTTTCTTTTGAAAAAGAACTACACTCTCATTCCTTAACTCCAGTTATCAGTTTTATTCTACCACCACTTGGTGTCATCTATGAAGCCATGTCTATTTGCCTGTGGTAAAATATCAGATTGCTTCTTTCCCACTCTGAGCAACAGGACGTAGACAGAGAAGGCATCTACACAAACTTTTTTTTCCCCAGTTGACTTCCTGATTTTCTCCTGCGAGCGTGTCTGAGGGCACTCTTCTCTGTTGCTTCTCTCTCCATAACATCCTTTCCTTCATCTTTGTTGGTGCCCTTTTATCTAGACACTGCCCTCCAACCACCCCCTCTTTGGCAACTTAGTTTCGAGTCATTTCCACGGTAGAGTGGCCAATCCCTTGTCACATGATCCTCCACAAAGAATACAAGCCCTTTCTTGCTTACAATAATCTGGAATCCTAATATCAGGTCTAATAAATCAAATCCAGCTTTGCTACCACTTACATGGCAAGTGGTTGCTGGCTTTCCCATCGTCCTTTCTCCCCCAGAGTGAGTAACTTCAACTGTCAGAAAATAAGAAAAGATCACCTCCACACAGATGAAAGCAAGGAGGCAGACTGGAGTGTTAAAAGACTGGCACGAGAATACACAGAAAAAAGAAACAGACACCTCTGGAAGCTGATGCTCACACAGGTTCACCAGGAAATTCATGCCAGACCAATCTCTATTAGATAAGTGTGGCCGACATGAAATTTTCGGACTTTAGCAGAGCATAGGACTAAGACTTTCATGACACTTTTCTGGAAAAGCTATATTGGGTTAAATAAGAACATATTTCTATATAATCACATACAGCTACCTTAAGATTGAATATATTATAGTACGTTTGTATTCTGAAAGGAATGTTCTGTAGAAATCATCCAACTTTTGCAACCTCATCACCACCACCTAGACCTGCATAGTCCACCGCACATATGGTTATTGAGCACTTGAAATGTGTCAGCTCTGAACTGGGATGTGCTTGAAGTGTAAAATGCACACCAAACTTGGAAGACTAACTATAAAAAAATAAGGATGTCAAATATCTCAGTAATGTTTATACTGATTTTATGTTGAAATAATATTTGGGGCTAGGTGTGGTGGCTCATTCGTGTAGTCCCAACACTTTGGGAGGCTGAGGTGGGAGGATTGCTTGAGGCCAGGAGTTTGAGACCAGCCTGGTCCACATAGCAAGACCCTGTCTCTATTATTTTTTTTTTAAGAAATTTGCAAAAACAACAACAACAAAAGAAATAATATTTTGCATACATTGGATAACAAAACATACTATTAAACTAAGTTTACTTGTTTCTTTTCTAGTAAGGTCAATAAAAGATTTAAAATTATCTGTATGGTTTTTACTACATTTATGTTGATTGTGCTGATTTAGACCAGCAGGGCAGATCGCCATGTGCCCTCTACCCAGTTTGTATTTGTCACCCAAGAAGCCCTAAATTCCCAGCCCATCTTTCATCACTCATCAGCCTTGAACACTTCTCAATCTGATCCCGTCCCCCATCCCTGCACAAACCCCAAGTGCCTTTCTTTGCACCTGTGGAACCCATGTCCATCAGTAACACAGTTCCCCATCCTTCATCTCTTCTCCGCCCATTTCCTCCACATTCTTACTCTAACTCAGTGGTTCTTAAACACATATCTGGCCTGTAATCCCAGCACTTTGGGAGGTCGAGGCGGGTGGATCATTTGAGGTCAGGAGTTCAAGACCAGCCTGGCCAACACTGTGAAACCCCATCTCTACTAAAAATACCAAAAAAAAAAAAAAAACAAAAAAAACTAGTCAGGTAGTAGTGGCATGCGCCTGTAATCCCAGCCACTTGGGAGACTGAGGCAGGAAAATTGCTCGAGCCTGGAAGGCAGAGGTTGTGGTGAGCCAAGATGGCGTCACTGCACTACAGTCTGAGCAACAGAGTGAAGCCCTGTCTCAAATTAAAAAAAAAAAAAAAATCTGTGTTAGAATCACCTTGGGAGCTTTAAATGAGTGTTTGTTGCTCAGGCCCCATTTTCAGAATGTTCAATCAGATCCTTTGGCTACAAGGATGAGGCTTCTGATTTTTTTTTTTTTTTTTAAATAACTCACCCAGGTGATTCTAACATGCAGCCGGGACAGAGAACCACTCATTGGACGAGCCCCAGCTTTCTGTCTACTCTAACAGTGCATTCATGCCAGTGAACGTAAGTTGGAAAAAACTCCACAGCATGCTGACTGGTCTCCCTAAATTAGAGATCACTAACCTAAAGTGGATATTTTAAAAATTATTTTTAGAGACAGGGGCTGGCTCTGGAGTGCAGCAGTCCACCATAGCTCACTGCAACCTCAAATTCCTGGGTTCCAGGGCTCCTCTGGCCTCAGCCCCCCAGGTAGGTAGCACTACAGGTGAGCACCACAGATCTGGGTTGGCTCTGTGTCCCCACCCAAATCTCATCTTGCAGCTTCCATAATTCACACACGTTGTGGAGGGACCCAGAGGGAGATGATTAAATTATGGGGGTGGATCTTTCCCGTGCTGTTCTCATGATAATGAGTAAGTCTCATGAGCTCTGATAGCTTAAAAATAAAAATGGGAGTTTCTCTGCACAAGCTCTCTCTTTGCCTGCTGCCATCCACGTAAGATGTGACTTGCTCCTCCTTGTCTTCCGCCAGGATTGTAAGGCCTCCCCAGGCACATGGAACTGTACGTTAATTAAACCTCTTTATTCGTAAATTGCCCGGTCTTGGGTATGTCTTTTAACAACAGCATGAAAACAGACTAATACAACCACCATACGTGACTTTTTTTTTTTGAGACGGAGTCTCGCTCTGTTGCACAGGCGGCAGTACAGTGGCGCGATCTCAGCTTACTGCAAGCTCCGCCTCCTGGGTTCACGCCATTCTCCTGCCTCAGCGTCCTGAGTAGCTGGGATTACCACCACCACGTCCGGTTAATTTTTGTATTTTCAGTAGAGATGGGGTTTCACCATGTTAGCCAGGATGGTCTTGATCTCCTGACCTTGTGATCTGCCCGCGTCAGCCTCCCAGAGTGCTGGGATTACAGGCATGAGCCACCACACCTGGCCACACCTGACTAACTTTTAAAATTCTTTTTTGTTGAGATGGGGTCTCACTACGTTGTCCAGGATGATCTTGAACTGGCCTCAAGTGATTCCCGCACCTCAGTCTCCCAAAGTGTTGGGATTACAGGTGTGGCCAGGTGTGGTGCCTTATGCCCAGCACTTTGGGAGGCCGAGGCTGGCAGATTGCTTAAGTCTAGGAGTTTGCAACCAGTCTGGGCAACATGGTGAAACCCTGTCTCTACAAAATATACAAAAATTAGTCGGGTGTAGTGGAGTTGATATGGGAGGATCACTTGAGTCAAGGAGGTTGAGGCTGCAGTGAGCCGAGATTGCTCCACCACACTCCAGTCTGGGTTATAGCACAAGACCCTGTCTCAAAGTTTTTAAAAAAGGGATGAGAGGTGTGAGCCACTGTGCTGGCCTGAAGTGGATCTTAAAAGTTGTCCTGCAATCCTGCCGTTTTCCCCGTGTCCCCTCACTCTCTTTATCTCCTAGAGATATAGTCTGCACCTTTTCCTCAAAGCTCCAGGTACTTCTCCTGAGTAGCCTTAAGTGAGACACAGAAGAAATCAGGAAAGACTTTCCACAAGCTCCCCCCACCACATCTACTCACCTCTCTGCATAGGTGCTCATACATATGTCTGCCTTCCCTCATTTCTCAGCTCAGGCCTGCCCAGCAGATCTTTCTGTAATGACCAAAATATTATTTGTTGGTGCTGTCTAGTACTATAGTCACTAGCCATATGTGGCTATTGAACACTTGAAATATGGCTAGCACAACTTATTATTATTATTATTATTATTGAGATGGAGTCTTGCTCTGTCATCCAGGCTGGAGTGCAGTGGCACGATCTCAGCTCACTGCAACCTCTGACTCCTGGGTTCAAGCGATTCTCCTGCCTCAGCCTCCCGAGTAGCTGGGACTACAGGCGTGTGCCACCACACCCAGGAAATTTTTGTATCTTTTTTTTTTTTTTGAGACGGAGTCTCGCTCTGTCGCCCAGGCTGGAGTGCAGTGACTGGATTTCAGCTCACTGCAAGCTCCGCCTCCCGGGTTTGCGCCATTCTCCTGCCTCAGCCTCCCGAGTAGCTGGACTACAGGCACTCGCCACCTCGCCCGGCTAGTTTTTTGTATTTTTAGTAGAGACGGGGTTTCACCGTGTTAGCCAGGATGGTCTCGATCTCCTGACCTCGTGATCCGCCTATCTTGGCCTCCCAGAGTGCCGGGATTACAGGCGTGAGCCACCGCACCCAGCCTAATTTTTGTATTTTTAGTAGAGATGGGGTTTTGCCATGTTGGCCAGGCTGATCTCAACCTCCTGACATCAGGTGATCTACCCACCTCGACCTTCCAAAGTACTGGGATTACAGGCATGGGCCACCTAGCACGCCCAGAAAAAATTTAGATTGTCTTCATTTTAAATTAATTTACACTTAAATAGCTACATGTGGCTGTCTATAAGGCAACATAGCTAGAGATGTTAGTGCCATCTAAGACCAACTCCTGCACTTGTATTCTGTGTGCCATTCTCTCTTACACTCTAGGACATTGCTCCAACAATTGTTCCCTCTCCTGCTTTATTCATTTTCCTTTGTTACAGAATCATTCTCCTCTGCATACAAATATATCGTCACATATTCAATTTTTTAAAAAGCCTCTTTGCTAGGTATGGTGGCTCATACCTGTAATCCAAGCACTTTGGGAGGCTGAGGCAGGAGGATCGCTTGAGCCCAGAGATTCAAGATCAGCATGGGCGATACTCCATTCCCAAGCTGGAGTGCAGTGGTGCAATCACGGCTCACTGCAACCTCAACCTCCTAGGTTCAGGTGATTCTCCCACCTCAGCCTCCCAAGTAGCTGGGACCATAGGCACACGCCACTACATCTGGCTAATTTTTGGTGTTTTTTTTCTATGTGCTTCTACAAATATATGAAACATTTTACGAATGTGCGTGTCATCCTTGCACAGGGGCTGTGCTAAACTTCTCTGTATTGTTCCAATTTTAGTATAGGTGCTGCTGAAGCAAGCACTAATTTTTGTATTTTTTTGTACAGATGGCGTTTCACTATGTTGCCCAGACTGGTATCAAACTCCTGGGCTCAAGCTCATAAAAAAATTAGCTGGGTGTGGTGCATGTGCCTGTAGTTCCAGCTACTCAGAAGGCTGAAATAGAAGGATCACTTGAGTGAAGGAGGTTGAGCCTGCAGTGAGCTGTGATCCCACCACTGCACTCCAACCTGGGTAAGCTCTGTCTCAAAAAATAATAATAAAATTACTTTCTCTTCGTATTTCCCTTTAGCTACCTTCAGCTTTTTGCTCCCTTCATAGCAAAAGTCCTCCAAAAGAATATTTTAATCATTGCTGACTCAAAGTTCTTTCCTCTACTCTCTCTTGAGCCCACTCAAATCATACTTCTGTCCCCACCATTCTGAACTGGCTCTTGTCAATGTCACCAGTGACTTCTCTATCACTAAATACAACGCAGTCCTTATCTTATTAAACACACAGTATCTGCAGCATTAACCCAGTAGTCATTCTGTCCTCATGAAACACATTCTCGACTTGGCTTCTTGGAAACCACCCTCTTTCGCTTCCTACTCCACTTGCTGCCCCTCCTCTGCTTGCTTCTCTGGTTCCTGCTCATCTTAACAACCTCAACATTTCCAAGTACAGTGGGGCTTAATCCCAAATCCTTTACTTGTGGGGAGTTCAGGGGGACTGGGTCTCTTTCTGTGGCCCAGACAGGAGTGTAGTGGCGCCATCTCAGCTCACTGCACCCTCTGTCTCCCAGGTTCAAGCCATTCTCATGCCTCAACCTCCTGAGTAGCTGAGATTACAGCACCTGCCACCACGCCTGGCAAATTTTTCTATTTTTGGTAGAAACAGGGTTTTGCCATACTGGCCAGGCTGGTCTTGAACTCCTGGCCTCAAGTGATCCACTCACCTCAGCTTCCCAAAGTGCTGGAATTGCAGGCATGAGCCACCGTCCCCAGCTTCCAAATCCTCCTTTTTGTCCTCATTTCACCCTAAGTGATCTCACTCAGTACCATCTGTATCTTTACCCTGACCACTCCTCTGAATTCTAAATTCATACATCCAACAGCCTAGCTGGCATTTCAAACTCAAAGATGAGTAGGCATCTTAATCTTAATGTGTCCATACTGAACTCTTGGTCCTCCCCCTTAAAACCCATTGCTCCATCAGGAAGAATAGCTAATGGATGCAGGGCTTAATACCTACGTGATGGGATGATCTGTGCAGCAAACCACCATGGCACACGTTTACCTATGTAACAAACCTGCACATTCTGCACATGTACCCCTTAACTTAAAAGCTGAAGAAGAAAAAAAAAAAAAGCCCACTGATCCGACAGTCCTTTCCATCTCGATGAATGTTAACTCCATTCTCCAAGTTGCTGTGGCCAAAAGCCTTGGGTCATCTTTGACTCCTTTCTCTCTCACACATCACAATTCCAGTTCATCAGAAAATCCTTTTGGCTCTAACTTCAGAATATATTCCAAAACTTCCCTCTCCTCACCGCCTTCCACCCTCATGTACATTTCTGCAACAGCCTCCTCCTGGTTTTCTTCCTTCTGTCCTTGCCTCCCCATAGACTGCTTTCAGTACAGAAGCTAGAGTGATGCTTTTAAAATATGAGCCAAATCATCACCTTCATCTGCTCAGAAACCCTCACTGGCTCCCCTTCTGCTCAAAGAACTGAAAATGGTTTTCAAGGTCTTACACTATCTGGCCCTTTTCCCCCTCTGTGTTAGCTTTCTAGGGCAGCCATAATAAAGTACCACAGATTGGGTGACTTAACCAACAGAAATTTATTTTCTCACAATTCTGGAGGCTGGAAGCCTGAGATGAAGGTGTCAACAGGATTGGCTTCTCTGGGGGCTTCTCCGCTTGGCTTATCGCTATAGATGGCTCTCTTCTCCCTGTGTCATCACATGGTCTTCCCTCTGTGCCCATCTGTGTCCTAATTTCCTCTTCTTGTGAGAAAATCAGTCATATTGGATTACGGCCCACCCTAATGACCTCATTTTAGGTCTTTAAAGACACTATGTCGAAACACAGTCACGTGCTGAGGTTCTGGGGCTTATGGCTTCAACACATGAATTCCAGGGAGACACCACTCAGCCCGTAACAACCTCCCTGACCTCACTTCCTCCCACTCTCCCACTCACGCCCTCCACTGGAGCCTCAAGGGCCACCTTGCTGTTCTCCAAACACATCAGACTTATTTCTGCCTCAGGAGCTATTCTCTATGCCCAAATCCTCTCTCCCCAGACAGTGGCAAGTCTTCCTCCTTCATTTCCTTTACATGTTTGCTCAAAGCTCACTACATCAGTGAGGCCTTTCCTGATCACTGAGAGTATTAACAGAATAGCAAGGCACCAAGCTCCTAACCATACACAAATTTTCCACCTCCCCTTGCTCTGCTTAACTTTTCTCCACAGCCTGTATTGTTATATACCACTTTGTATATTTTCTTATTCACATGCTTGTATTTTTAAAATCTCCGTCAACTTAGTAGGTGCTTATTAAATATCTGTCGAATTAGTGGATAAATAGGATACAGTCATTTGCCAAAAGGAATATATCCAAAGTTCAGCATCACAAAGGATCCAGCAACTGTAACCTACAAGGCACAGTTTAGACAACTCAGATATTTAGCTTTGAGAAAAAACAAAAGAAGCTTGAGGAAATACTGGATAAGTATTTTAACACTTCTAAAGGAGTGTCCTGTGGCCGAAAGCACAGTTTGTCTTTGCATTTGGTGTTACTCCATGGGGCAGTGTTGGGATATAAGGACGGAAATGAAGAGAAGGTAAATTTTAGCTATATGTAACAACACACAAATTCTAGTGAAATGTTATATTTCCTGAAGCTGGCTCCTGATAATAGAAAGTAAGGAGGCAGAAACCAGATGATTGTCTCAAGAATATTGCAAGAGAGACACCTGCCTTGGTGGGAGGATCAAACAGTTGATTTCTGATTTGGGTTCCAACTCTAAGATTCTAGAAAGATAACCCAACTTTAGGTGAGGAAACTGTCACCACTTCATATAGTATGGCTGGTCTTAGCACCCCATTGTTTTTATGACTCAGGTCTAGCAAAGTGGCCATATCCTGGAAGCACCACAAGATGAAATGAGAAGTCAGGGGGACAAAGGCCAAGCTTTGCCAATAAATATTCAAATGACCGTATGCAAGGGACTTCATTTATCTGGCTCTCCAGTAAATCCTCAACAAATTAAAGACGTGGCCTAAATGACTACTTCATCCCTTTCAGTTGTAAACACTGTAATTCCAGATGTTTTTTCCTCAACTAACAGGAGCTGTGAAAAACAGGAGTTGTGAAAAAGAGACTTCAGATAGTCCCGGAGGCCAAACACAGTGACTCACTCCTGCAATCCCTGCACTTTGGGAGACTCGAGCCCAGGAGTTTGAGATCAGCCTGGGCAACAAAGTAAGACCCAATCTCTATGAAAAATTTGAAGGAATTAGCTGGGCATGGTGGTACCCACCTGTAGTCCCAGCTACTCAGAAGACCAAGGTAAGAGGATTGCTTGAGCCCTGGAGGTTGAGGCTGCAGTGAGCCATGATTATGCCACTGTACTCCAGCCTGAGCAACAGAGTGAGACCAGAGTGTCTCAAAAAACAAACAACAACAACAAA